GTGGCTGAGGGGTTGAGCATAGCCCTGTGCACCGAGAGGTCCCAGTTTGATTACCGGTTCAGACTTGATCCCCGGTAGGGGGCATGCAGGAGGCAGCCAATCGGTGTTTCTCTCTCTCCCTCTCCCTTCCTCTCTCACTAAAATCAATAAAAACATATTTAAAATAATAAAGAGCTAATATGCAAATGGTAGTCACACCCTCACATCATCACGCCATAACACCTCAGACACTCAACACTGGGGAGAGAGGAATGGGGCCCAACCAGGCGCAAATGAGCTTGTGAGGGAGGAATGGGGACAAGCTAGGTTGAGGGATAAGCCGCCCACCCCGTGGTGCTGGGCACCTGCAGCTGCGGCCTAAGCAAAGCGGGCCCAGCTCCTGGGTATCTGCGACCAGGGAATCCTTGGTCCCAGGTGTGGGGCGAGGCAGAGGCAGTTAAGGGCAATCAGGCAGGCAGGCAGGCAGAGGTGGTTAGGGGCAATCAGGCCAGCAGGGGAGCAGTTAAGGGCAATCAGAATGGTAGCGGAGCAGTTAGGGGCAATCAAGCAGGCAGGCAGGCGAGCGATTAGGAGCCAACAGTCCCAGATTGCAAGAGGCAGTTGGACATCCCCTGAGGAGTCCTGAATTGGACAGGGTGCAGGCTGGGCTGAGGGACCACACACCCCTGCACAAATTTCATGCACTGGGCCTCTAGTATTTAAAATACAAAAGCTCTAGGCTGGCCCTGTCCCCCACAGGCAGCCACACACCTAGACGACAGGTGTGAAGCACCTCTTGACTGGTGCTGGATAGCCAGCTGTTTGTGACCATGACCTCGAGGGAGGGGAAGCTTGGGAGGGAACCACAGATCTCCTGGGCAATTCCCGCCATGGTTCAGCCAGCTGGGGTCCTCGGACATCACGGTGGTCCCACTGAGCCGAGGAGGCGCTGATGTTTCCGGAAGCTGTGGGGCAGGGTACCAGCAAGGGGCTTCGAGCTGGGGATGGAATGATTCCAGAGGTTGAGCAGCGGCAGGGGCAGGGGCAGGGTCCAGGCAGGGGGCAGAGCCTCGCTCACCCCGGGACCTGCCACTGCCGACCGAGAAGGCGTGCCTCAGACAAGGTGCCATCCTCGGGCTGTACGCACGTTAGACTCCCCCTAATGAACCAAACACAAGCCCAGATGGGGTCTCTGGGGACAGTGTGGGAGGCGGATCTCCCCATGTCGGGGGCTTGGGAACATCTAGGGCTCCCCCAAACCCACCAACAAAGGATGAGGGCAAGTACATACCGGTTCAGGGCAGAGAGCAATAGAGCCGCCCATTGGAGCAAAACCCAACACTCCCCACACGAGGGGAGAGCGCGCGTCCCACAAAGCTCCTGGGAAGGTACGTGCACAATAAAAAACTAGTCACTGCGGGGGGCGGGGGTAGAAAAAGGGGGCCCGGAGTAAAGAAGGAAGCAATCGATAAAAACCAACTGCACGATGACGCAGGGGCCAACGAAGCCGTCACAAGGACCCCAAAGGCAGGCACCACAGAAATAAAACATGGGATCAATGGACTTCACCAACATTAAAATATGCTGCACTCCAAAATCCACCTTAAAAAGAAACCAAAAACACCCAAAGGGAAATTCACAGCCTGCAAGGGAATACTCGCCACGCCCAGCACTGCCAGGGGGTGGAATCAGCATATACCAAGGACTCTCACAGCTCAGGCGTAAGGCACACACCCCACTGAAAATGGGGCAACGGGTATGAGCCCCACGCCACCGAGGGGGCTCTCTACCGGCCAAGCAGCACCTGCGAGGCGGCTCGTTATCGCCCGTAACCACGGGGAAGCTCGTTAAAACCGCAGAGACCCCACTTCACACCGCAGGGCGCCTCATACTGCAGGCGGCGCTCCCGGTGCTGGCCAGGGTGCCGAGCATCTGGCGTTCTCTGCCGCGGGTGGGACGTGGGACATTGCGCAGCCGCTCCGGGACAATTAGGCAGTTTCCTTACGCACTGGGATACGCTGTGAGGATAGGCCCCAAAGAAAGGAAAACATGCCCACAGAGACCCCCGCGGGAGAGTCCGCGGGGGCAAGACCCCCGTGCCCCGTGGCCATCGGCGCGGGAAGGGATACGCAGTCCACAAGGCGCAGACGCGCACGGCCCGGCGACCCCGCTGCCGTCTCGCTGAGCAGGGAGCAGACCGGGAGCCGTGGCTGCGCGGCTCCATCGTGCGGTTCCACAGCTGGCAAATCTGAGCGGCGGCAGCAGGAAGCGGGTGGGCAGCTACCTGCAGGGGGGGCGGGAGGAGGGGGGGGGGCTGCTGGATTGCACAGCGGCACGAGGACACTTTCCAGAGGAGTGTATATCCGGGTAAGTGCGGGGGTTGCCCAACTGTGAACATCTTTCACCTCATTCAATTGCACACTTAAACTGGTGGGTTTTGTCGTACGTACATTACACCCCACAAACCGGCTGTTTCCAAGCCCGAGGCCTTCCCTGGCGGCCCCACAGTAGATCGTGTGGATATTTGGTGACGTTTCCTGCCCAAATGCAAACATTCTGTCAACAGGCTTGGCCGGGGCGCGATTCCTGGGGACTGGGGGAAGGGGTGAGCCTCCGGCCGGCGGCACCGCGGCCGTGAAAGCCACGTGGTTCCCTGGCAGCTGTGCGGGGAACAGCTACGTCTCGGCGGCCTACAGCAGGGAAGGCTTGTGTCGCGCTTTACGGTAGCCACAGTCAGTGCCGTTCTCCACACGCCGGCGTCCAAGCTGAAGGCACAGAGCTGGTGTGGGCGCGCGAGCCGAGCCTCATGGCAACCTCAATGGCACTTCAAGTTTCTGCTCAGAAGCATATCCTCTCGCGTTCCATTGGCCCAAGCAAGCAGGTGGCCTCACCCAGTGCTGGGAAGGAGCACAGGCCCTCTCCGCGGCTTCCGTGGGGATGTCCTGTTCGCGTATGGAAAGGGGATGCAAACATGCTACTAGCACATCTCCCAGTCAACACATACACACACACACACACACACACACACACACACACACACACACCAGACTCTCGCACACAGCTTACACCTTCAAAGCCTGGGTTCCTGGATTCAGAGGACCTGGGGCAGCCCGCGCTGCCAGCCGCTGGTAGCCGGGAGCCCATCCTGCCTGGGCACTCGGCCTGGCCACTTCTCAGCACACGCCTTCCAGGAAGCCACTGGAGGCACCAGCGGGACCTGCTGTCCCACAGACGGGCACACAGTGTCCCAGCGGCATGGCTGGGCCCGGAAACCAGTCCCAGAGGATAGAAGGAGGTGACCCACGGTCCCAGTCCGCCCAGTGGAGGAGGCTTCCGGGGGCGGGGATAGAACCAACCAGGAAAGTCTAGCAGAGACACCACCGTGTTGCCACTGCCCGTCCCCCTCGGGCCACCGGTCCTTCCCAGAGAGGCAAGTAGCCTGTGAGCACCGAGGAGCCACAGCTCCCGAAAGCGGGCCGTCTCACCGACCCTCCCTCCCACCGCAGACGCGGCTGCTTTTGGGCTGAACAAACCCAGCGTGGCCATCCAGGGGGAGCTGGGTGCCTTTCTCCACGTGGACCCTCTGCTCCGTGGGGATCCCTTGAGCAGAACGCAACTGTCTTTGAAGTATTGATCTTCTCTGACTCGGCGACTGAAACTATCGGACACGTGGGACATCTGAACTTAGGCTGAGGCTGTTCTGTGGCCTGTGGAAGCTGGAGGCTCGGGGGCGGACCAGCCATCGTCAGGCACGGCTGGATCCAGGTGCTTAAACAAAGTCCCGGGTTCTCTTGGCCACCAGCACTTTCTACCTCTTCCCTTCTCCCTGTCTTCCTCTTTCAGGTATTTCTCTGCCTTTCTCCGCTCATTATCCTTAGGCTTTGCAGACAGGTACCCTTCATGGGGTATGAAAAATGTCAGCAGGTGACCCCAGGCAGCTTTGCAAGTCTTGAGCCAAATGACACCGCCTCCTGCTGGGCGAGCTCCAGCCTGAGCCACACACCCTCCCTGCGATCAGGGGACATGGGTCCAGGACTGCCAGCCCCTCCAAGCCACATTAAGAGGGAGAGAAAGTGTTCAAAATTCTCCAAAAGAAAGGGCGTATTGCTGCCTTAAAAAGGAAGGGAGCCTGCTCCACAGAAACCCATCGCGGAGCCACGTCCACTGCAGCTGCGTTCTGTGCCTGTACGTGTCTGCACAGCCGGCCCTGCTCAGCGCTTCACAGCTTCTAAGACTCCACATAGTCACCCGCATTCACAGGCCGGGCACTCACAGGCTGGCCACTGATGCCCAAGCAGCCTGGAAAGGGAGACATATCGTCCTCCCCTCACTGATGAGGAAGCCCAGGTTCCGAGGGGCTGGATCTGCTTCTCCAGCTCACCGGGTCGTAAGTAGCAGAACTGGGGCGAGCAGTCAGGTTCTCTGAGCTCAATGCTTCTTGTACTTACTGCTCAGCTCCTGGGCTCAGGCTGTGAGGCCTCAATGCCATCTTCATCACCACCACCTTCAACATCAACATCCCATCACCACCAGCACCAGCACCACCACCAACATCACCATCATCTCCACAACCACCACCTCACCACCACCATCACCATCAACAACAACCCACCATCACCACCAACAGCGTCACCATCACCATTACCAACACCCTCCAATAACTACCATCACCATTATCAACTCTACCACCACCATTCCATCCATTACCACCATCATTAAAAACAACACCATCACCATAACAACAAAACCATCGCTGCCACCAGCTTCCTGGCAACCGAGCATGGAGCCCTAGCTCTTAGCTGCAGACACAGCCAAGGAACTGGGAACCTAACGGAGAAGGAGACGCTGGCTGAATCAGATTTTCCTAGTGGGAACTCCTCTCCTGGCAGCTCTTCTGTGGCCGGAACCCAGCGTTGCACTCACAGCTTTGCAATGCCTCTCCGAGTTGGCTGAGCTGGTCCCAAAGGCCTGCGATCCTGTTTTGGAGAGAAACACACATGAGTCACTGGGGCTGACATTCTCTGAGATCTGACAGAGTTTCTACTTTGGGAACCTACTAACCGTGACTCAGCAGCGATTCACCCAGGAGCGGGCCGGGGAAGCTGGGGACAGGCCTTCTCATGGGCCCTGCTGTGGCCACTGGGAGCTGGGTCGGTGCTGGGCTCTGCATACTGTCTCCCGGTGACCCCATCATGGAGCTCAGGCTGGACCTGATGGTCAGAGAGAGGAAGCGGTGCTCCCCACGGTTACACAGTGAGTAGCGGGAAGAGGCAGAACTTGAACCCAAAGCTCTGTGACTCCAAAGCCACAGACGTCATTGTCCCAAGTGGTTGCTATGCTGTCCCAGGCTGGCCTTTCGACGCTGCCTTTCACTCGTGGATCTGGGAGCCCTGCTCTGAACGAGGCCCCTCTGGCTTGCACCCACCTTTCTGGGAGAGCGGCTTGGTGGTCCAGGGCGGTGCCCCGGGCGTAGCCATGTAAGCCGGCCGCGGGAGCAGCAGCGTGGCCGGAGGCCTCTCTGTGCTGCCAGGGGACAGGCTTATGTGTCAGTCAGGGTTCCACCAGGAACGAGATGACTCAAGTTGGGAAAACTGCAGAGGATGGGGAGCACGAGGGTGGGCGCTGCACCGCACTCTGGGCCGCAGCCACCCTTACTGAGGCTGAAGGGATGGGGAGGCACATTGCCGGGACCTGGAAGGAGCTACTCTGACAGAGAGCTGCCTAGGGGGACGGTGCGCCCTTTCATCCAGGGACACAGCCTGCCCAGGTGACCCCAAGGGGAGCTGCTGTGCTGTGCATATTGTGACTTCTCCTCCCCTCTTACCTGTAGCCAGGGCTCGCCATGGCCCCGCCCCACAGGAAGCCAGAAGGCATGGAGCCCAGGAACGGGGCCCATGGGGCTCAGCCTCTGGGGAGAGAGCAGGGCAGAAAAGGAGCCTGGAGGGTCAGTGGAAAGTGGCCGGCACAGGGTGTGGCCCTGTGGACCCACAGCATCTCCTACCCCCAATGGGGCACATTGGGAAGGGAGATAGTGCCCAAAGGGAGCTTCCCTCTGTGAAGCAGGCAGAGGGGCAGGACGCCCACCCAATCTCAGCTCTTCTAGTGGGTCCGGGGGTCCTCAGGAGACTACAGACGGCCCCCAGTGCCTCACCCGGGGATTGGTGTGCCCACAGCCCTGCCTGCAGATCCCCTCATCCTTGGGGGTGTTCACTCTTCCTGCAAGGAGCTCTCACTGTCTCTTTCCCTGTGGGAGACCATCAGGGACCAGAACCCCCCAAATCATAGCCAGCAGTGATCAGTCTGTAGAAACATCCTCTCCCTCTCCAGGGCTTGTCCCATATGTAATCAGCAATTTCAAATGGACAAAGAAACAAGAAAATGTGACTCATAGTCAAGAATGAAAAACAACAGTCAATGGAAATCAACCCTAAAGTGGCCTGGATAATAGATTTAGCAAACAAACCTTTCAAAACAGCTCTTATAACATTGCCCCAAAGTTAGAAGATAATATGCTTGAAGAATTCATGGAAAATGTAGTCTTAATAAGGAAACAGATAAGGAATCTAGGCAGAGACGTGGACACTGTAATAAAGAACCAAGTGGAAATTCTAAGTCTGAAAAGATAGAGACATTAACATTCACTGTTGGAGCTGTGGGCCTGAAATTCCGGAGGGAGACCAGGTCGGGAGCTAGATATCAGAGAGTCATCAGCTTGGAGATGAGAATAGATGAGCTCCCGCCTAAGGCCGTGGAGACTGAGCCACAGCCTTCACTCCCACTGGGGAGGTCAGACAAGCAAACAGCAACACTGAGCCCGCTTAGGTGACTGCCAATAGCACCTTTCCAATCCCACCTCTCAGAGGACTCGGCCCGGAAACAGAGCCTCACCGCGCTTTGTCCCTTTCGATACACAGCTCCTAACTACAAGCTCCGCGCGAAGCAGAGATTTGGTCATGGGGATCCTTCCCTACCAAGTAGAGCTGCTTTGGGAAACCAGTATGAATGGGGCTTCTTGCTGGGTTCCAGGCAGATGAATTCCCCTGCTCTCTCCCACCCTTGCAAAATGGGATCTGTGATCTTGCTTGATTCTGGGACCAGCAGGGCCCTGCTGGGTGCCCCGTATCCCTAGGCTCCAGAACCTGAGGAGGGGTGTGGAGGAAGTGGCTGCTGTCAGGGCCTTGTTGGCACAGAATCAGAGCAGGGCTGCTGAGGTGAGAGTGAGGAGCTCCCCATCCAGTGGCAGGCAGGGATTAAAAGTGCCTTTATCTGAGCTCTGACCTCGTGCAGGCACTGTGCTAAGCATGTTACATGAATCACCATAACGTCCCCATGAAGTGACAAGCCCCGTTTTCCAGGCAAGGGCACAGAGACTTAGAGGAGTTGGGTGACTGACACCAGGGTAAGGTAGAAAGTGGTAGGACTCGGAGTCAAACCGGGTCTCTCTGACTCCAGAGCCTGTGTGTTTAGATTGAGGTATGTGTCCCACTGTTGTTCAAACCTATTTCTTCCAGAGTCATCCTGGTCTCTGCAAATGATTCATCATTTTTTCAGCCACTGGTGTTAAGCACCTGGGAATCAGGATGGGTAGGTAGACGAATGGGTGAATGAATGGATGGGTGGATGGATGGTGGATGGTTAAATGGCTGAATGGATGGAAGAGTGGGTAGATGAATGAATGGATGGGTAAATGCGTGGATAAGTGGAAGGGTAGATGGGTGGATGGGTGGGTAGATAATTGGATGGGTGGATGGATGGATGGATGGATGGATGGATGGATGGTTGTACATAGGAAAGGTCCCCACACCTTCCTATCCCTCCAAAATGATTACTTCTGTGGCTCCTTCAGTGTCACCCATTGAAGGATGGCTCTTTGGTGTGCCAGGGGAGACTAGCAAACACGCCCAGCTCCTCCCATCTTCTCCATGCACATTCTTCTTCCCTTTACAGTCACGCCCCAATCAGGCCTCACACCGTGGCACCCTCTTGAGGGACTCAGCTTTCCAGGAGCCTCTGCTGAACCAAAGCTTCATGATCCTCGCTCGCCCGCCCACTGGGAGACGCTGCTGGCTTCGGCCTCCCCCTCCTCAGCCTCCCAAATCCAGCCCCCCAGCCGGCCCCCAGCCCAGCACGGAGTCAGCCCCCGTCACCGCAGCTGTCCACACTGACAAAGCCTGGCTGTTCGATAAGGCCGTGCCAGCTGGAACGAGACACTTCCCGTCCGACGGGAGCTTCTGCACGGAGCCTGGGGGCAGCTGTCGGCTCCGGCTAGAGGAGCGCGGAGCCGGATCTGGGGCCTGCACCCTCTCTGGGCCCTCCCTCCCCCAGAGGCTCCACAGGGGTCCTGACATGGGGGGTCTGGAGGAGGGGCTTTTGCTCTCTGGACCCTCTGACCCCGATGCTTAAGAACCCGCCCCTTTGGGAAGTACAGGGTTCTGTTGCTAGGACAGGGCTGGGGCTGGCGGAATGTTGGCCCCTCCCTGGGTGACACTGCTTTCCTTGGTCATCAGGTGCCAGTGACCAGAGCAGAGACTGAAGTAAGAGGTGAAGGTCGTCTATGTAACCAGCAGCAGAGCATGGTCACAGCCAGGATGGACATCGGTGTTGGCCACCAGGGAGGCAGAGCAGTGTGCTCCGGCCAAGTCTGGCCCTGGGTCCAGCAAGAAACCACTGCACCTCTGGAACAGCTCTGCCGAGATCTCCATGGCAGCTGGACAGCCACTCCCGGCCCCTTAAGCTGGTCCCTGGCCACTGGACACTCATCCCATAATGATTTCTGGAGCAACTACTACGTGCCAGGCATGAGGACACCAACAGGTCCAAACCCCTGCCCTCGTGGCAAATATGTTCCCAGAGCACAGCCTTCTCTGACTGGGACCAGCCCTGCCCACTCACCCAAATCCCAGGCCCAGACCCCAGACCCAGCCTAGACTCCAAGCCCAGACTCCAGGCTCAGCCCCCAGCCCCCAGCCCTAAGCCCCCATTCCCCAGCCCTCAGGCTCAAACCCCAGACCCAGACCCAGCACAGATCCCAGACCCAGGTCCAGACCCAGGTCCAGATCACAGAAACAGACCCCAGACCCTGATTCAGGCCCAGACCCCAGGCCCCAGAACCAGATCCCAGACCCCAGTCCCAGATCCAGACCCTGGGCCCAGACTCAGGCCAGACCCCAGACCCTGGCCCAGACATAGGCACAGTCCCAGACCCTGGGCCCAGACCCAGGCCCAGCAGAGCCAGCCGCCTTTTCTGGCTTGATTCCTTTATAAGTCTCTAATTACATCCTGGGAGAAGCAATTAGAATGAAACGGAGGGGTTTTTCTCTCTCTCCCGCAGGCCAGGCCTGTTTAATAACTTAATTGAATACACAGAATTATAATTACAACGTTAATATTTCCTCTCTGTAAAGCCGCCGCATTCTGCTGGAAGAAGCCTCCCTTGGGAATGGCCGCTTCCCACAGCCCCCAGCGCCTCGCGGTCCGAGTCCACTGCCTCCCTGCGGGTGCCCCCCTGGCTCTGCTGATCCTGGGGCCCAGCAGGGCTGGCAGGAGCTCCAGCCCGGGGGAAGCGCGTCCTCCCATCCTGAGTGTTTACAGTCGAGCTCAAACCACACGGTGGAAATTACGCCGAAGCTCCTAATTGCACATTTCCTTCCTCCAACCATTTTCTTTTGACGGTCGACTTTGAAAACGTTCACCACTTAATTTTCCCTGGGGCAGGAGGGGGGAAGAAAGGAGGCAGCGGGAGGGGGACCAGCTCCCCGGGAGGGGCCCCCACTTCTCTGGCGTCTCCAGCGGAAACTCGGGGGTCGCAGGCTAAGGAATCTTACCTCCCGCCTCCCACCCCCAACTAGGTGTCTCCTTGAGTCTCATTTCTTGTCCATAAAATGCAATTAAGAATATTCAGCTTGCAAAATAATGGTTTGAGATGGGCCGGCACGTACTAGGTGCTCAATAAATGCCGGGCTCTTTCCTCTCAGCTCTGTGGAGGAAATGTGGGCAGAACCCCCCACCCCCCCACTCTCGTACCTGCCCCCCCCCCCTCACTCTCATCTTCTGTCTGCGTGTAGTTCATGCACCAGCTAAGAGCAGCTGCCAGGGTCAGGTCCCAGCGTGGCCTCTGGCCAGCAGGGCCATGAGGGCCTGGGGGAGTGACTTGTCATCTCGGTTTCCAGGTCCATAACAGGGCATCATAATGGGGCCAACATCACTGGGTTGTCCTGAGGATGATGGGACTCACCTCATAAAGCGCAGGACCAAAGGAAGGCTCAGCGGCGTGGCAGCGACCCCTGCCAGTCGCTCTGGAGGTGGCAGGGGGCCTTGGGATCAGACAGACTTGGGTTCCAGCCCTGAACGTCCATGTACTTGGGACAGTCAGCTGATTCCCCGGATCCCCTGGATCTCTCGCTGTGAAATAGGCACCAACACAGGGTTGCTGCAGGGTGTGAGGCAAGGAATGGGCAAGCACTCTTGCCCTGAGGCTGGGGCTCCGAGGGGGCCTCCGTCCCAGGAGTGATGAAGGGAGGAGGCTGCCGTGCGCCCCGCAGCCCCCTGAGCCCAGGCCATGTGGGAGACCGTGTGGTCCTCTCTGCGAGGTCCCTGTGGAGAGGCCACCAGGGCGGTGGTGGGAATAGGAGCTCCCGCTTCCTGTGGAACAGGGAGCTGAGCCTCAGTTTTCCCATCTGTGAGCTGGGACCCCACCTCCTTCCCAGCTCCGACCATTCCATTCCCTTCTGTAACCACCTGTGAATTCTGCCCTGGGCCCTGGCTGCTCCCCGGACACGTGGGCACTCTAATAACAAATGGCTGGTAGCACCTGAGTTCTCAATTCGTGCTAGCTGCTTTCATAAATTATATATCTTAGATCAGCTTACACGTATTAGCTCATTTAATTCTTAAAACTGCCCCATGACAGAGTTATATTTCCATTATTCCCATTTTACAGATGAAGAAACCAAGGCTCAAAGTTGCCCAAGGACACAAAGCTAGAAAGGGGCAGCCTGAGGCCAGAGCCTCTGCTCCTAACCATTGTACCACACTGCCTCCTTCCGATGAAGCAGAGTCCAGAGAGGCCAGGAGCCTGCTGAAGGCGCCACGGCAGGTTACTGGCTGCACACACGCACAGGAGTCCTAGCTCCCAGGCCTCTGTTCTTGCTTCTATACCCCCCTTGCTTCTATATTCGCCATCCAGCCATATCCTCTGGGCATAACATGAGCAGGTTCTTCCTGGGAGAGGGACACAAAGGAAACTTCTACAGTGAGGTACCTCGTAGTTTCCTGTGAAATGTTAACAAAATCGGAGAAACTAAGATGGCGGCATAGGTAAACACCAGGAAATTGCCGCCTCACACAACAATTGAAAATTACCGCAAAGGACAGAGCAAACATCATCCAGAACAACAGGAAGGCTGGCTGAGTGTAAATTCTACAACTAGAAGGAAAGAAAAGCACGCTGAGAGCCGGAGGAGCTGCAGAGGTGAAGTGCTGCGGAGGTGAAGTGCAGAGGTACGGCTGGCTCGCGCGCGCGCGCGCGCGCGCGCGCGAGTAAAGGGGGTGGCACCTGAGGACGCGGCTGTCTTTTTGAATCACAAACTCCCGACTGCTCTGAACTCCAGTTCCGGGAAGTCTCTGGGGACCCAGGACTCATACGGGGAGAAGCTGGTCTGTCCGGCAGCGGACGAACTTGAAGGCGGCTTTCCCTCAGAGGTGCTTGCAGCCGTTACCGGGACACTGAGACCCGCGACTCCGGGCGGAGAATCAGCCATAGCTCCTTGATCCGCCCTTTGACTCCCTGAGACCCCGCCCCACCCAGGCTGCGGCAGAGGCTTGTGCATGTGAATGTACCTAACTGCAGCCGAGCCAGGCAGACCCGGAACTTCCAAGAGAAGGCCCAAGGCCCCGCAGCGGCTTGCATTGCTTCACAGCTGAGCCTCTTCGTGGCTCCTGCTGTGTGGCCTCAGGCAGAGGCTGAATTAGCACCTCCTTAGATCCAGGAGCCACTGTACCCAGTGGTCAGAGGGGGACCATCCAGATTGCAACTCCTCAGATCCATAAGGGACGCACTCAAGGAGCAGACTCAGTGAGCACCAAAGCCCCACTGAAGCAAGTCTTGCCCCAGAAGGGTGTCTTCAGCACAGAAGTTCTCCCACTTTAGACACAGCTGATTCTCACAGCCAACTGGCCTGGAGGTCAATTCCTCCCAGTGATCCTACAACAACCAAGGCACCAAGAGTGCACCAAGAGTGTCCACCCCAGGTAACTGGGGAGGCTGAGACACTGGGCCCTACAGGACACCTGGCGCGCAGGGCCACTCTATCAACACAGGGAAGCTGCCAAAATGCGGAGACAAAGAAACAGGTCACAAATGGCAGAAATGGAGGAAAGCAAACGATTGGATATAGAGTTCAAGGCCACGTTTATAAGGTTTTTCAAGAATTTTATGGAAACCGCCAATAAATTTAATGAATCCCTCAATAAGTATAGCGAGACCATGGATGACATGAAAAAGGACCAACTAGAAATTAAGCATACACTGACTGAAATAAAGAATAATTTACAGAGATCCAGCAGCAGACAAGAGGATCCTAAGAATCAAGTCAAAGATTTGAAATACAAAGAAACAAAAAATACCCAACCGAAAAAGAAAAAAGAAAAGAGATTCCAAAAATATGAAGATAGTGTAAGGAACCTCTGGGACAACTTCAAGCGTACCAACATCAGAGTTATAGGGGTACCAGAAGGAGAGAGAGGGCAAGATATTGAAAACCTTTTTGAAGAAATAATGACAGAAAACTTCCCCTACCTGGTGAAAGAAATGGACTTACAAGTCCAGGAAGCGCAGAGAACCCCAAACAAAAGGAATCCAAAGAGGACCACACCAAGACACATCATAATTAAAATGCCAAGAGCAAAAGATAAAGAGAGAATCTTAAAAGCAGCAAGAGAAAGACAGTCAGTTACCTACAAGGGAGTACCCATACGACTGTCAGCTGATTTCTCAACAGAAACCATGCAGGCCAGAAGAGAGTGGCAAGAAATATTCAAAGTGATGAATAACAAGAACCTGCAACCAAGATTACTTTATCCAGCAAAGCTATCATTCAGAATAGAAGGTCAGATAAAGAGCTTCACGGATAAGAAAAAGCTAAAGGAGTTCATCACCACCAAACCAGCATTATATGAAATGCTGAAAGGTATTCTTTAAGAAGAGGAAGAAGAAAAAGGAACTCTTACCATTTGCCACAGCATGGATGGAACTGGAGAGCAAATAAATACCACATGATCTCACTCATTTGTGGAATATAATGAACAACATAAACTGATGAACAAGGACTGATCCAGAGACGGAGAGGCATTGATTGGACTGTCGGGACTTGGAGGGAAGGTAGGGGAGGGTGGGGGTAAGGGGGAAAGATCAACCAAAGGACTTATATGCAAGCATATAGGCCTAATCAATGGACATGGACAACGGGGGGGTGAGGGCATGAGCGGGGGGGGGGGGGGTAGAGGGTAACGTGGGGACAAGGACACATATGTAATATCTTAATCAATAAAAAATATATTAGAAAAAAAAATGTTAACAAAATCTCAACAAAAGACACCAGGACCCACAGCAGCTCACCAGGTCACTCAGGAATCGTCAGGACTGTGATTTCCATCAAACCATCAAGCACTGAACCCCCTTTTGTAAGCTCAGAGCTCAGGCCCTCAGCGGTGCCGTGCGTGCTGAGCTCACCTCCGTGCAACATGGTCAGGCGTAAAAATGTCCCACGGTTCCCGCTGAGGGTTACGGAGAATCATGAATGCAAAACACGGAAAAGTTAGTGGAGTTTTAAGCACAAAACACATGTGGCCTCGTTGAGATAGAGGGTTTCCAAAGTTGTTCAACCAGGATGGCGCCTGGCTGCGACCTCGCCTTCCTTGAGCACGATCCACAGAGAGTGGGTGAGGGCTTTCTCCAGGGCTCCACAGTGTCGGGCAGACCACATGCCCCTGAGAGACGTGCGGGGAGTGAATGAATAAGCGAGCGAGCGAGTGGCGTGCCGGGGACGGTGCCCTTGGCAGGTGGGCCATTTTCCTCTCCGGCTCAGTGAACTTATGCGCTGGGAGAGGACCTGTGTTCCCAGCTGCCAAGTCTCCAGGCAGCAGATCTGGGGCCTCACAGCAGCAGGGACCTGCACCACCCACCCAGGGGGCACCAGGCCCAGCGAGGGTCAGAGACCTTCTGGAGAGAGCAGGGCTCAGAAGGCATCCCTCCCTTTCTGGGAAGTCACACCGTCCAGCCCTCTCTCCCTGCAGGGCTCCAGGAACCAAGGCCTTAGCCATCCAGCTGGGCCAGGCAGCATGCCCCCCCGCACCCCCCCCCTACCCATCCAGCGCGCGCGCACACACACACACACATGCGTTTGGCAACTGCTCAAAAAGATTCCAGGGAGGTGGCCTAAAGAATGAGACACTGTATGAATGAAGGAATGTGTGGTAGGAAGTGACAGTGGTGACTCAGGGTGACTCAGCCTGGAGCCTGCCAGGGGCCCGCTGAGCAGCCATCTGTGGCCACAGCAGCCCTTGCCCACTCACCTCAGGCCGGGGCCAGTTCCCCTCTCCCCAGGACCCATCTCTCGGCCTGGCTTTATGCCCAGACACTTGGAGAATGGAGGGGAAGAAGGTGCATGGCAGGTGCCTAGACTGAGCCCAGGAATGAAGTTGGGAGAAGCTGTGAGCAGGAGGGGAGAGGGGCTGGGTTGCTACGCCTCCCCCTGGAGGACCCGGGAACCTCCTCCTGCTTTCCTTAGAAGCCCATCTCATCCAGCACCCCTTGGTGTGACAAACAAGGGAATTGAGGGGGCCTGATGTGGAGATGACCAACCAAAGTCAAGGGGCTGAGAAAGCGGAATGAAGAACAGGCTGCAAGTCTCCCAGTCCCAGCTGGGACCATGGATGTCCCCAGGCTGCAGCCCAGGTGGTGGCAGGCATGGGCATCATGCCAGGCAAGCCAAGGCTCTGCTCGGGACCTGCTAGCCCCACCAAGGTCTCTGCCAGAGTCAGTTCACATTGCCCACAGTCCCTCCTTGAGACAGACTCAGATGTGTATTGCACTGTCTAACAACCCACCAATCCATCTATTCATCTGTCCATCTGTCTATCCATCCATCCAATGTGAACTCTTCCTTGCAGCCTGGCCATGACCTCAGCATCTGAAACACACATTCACCCCGTGTTCATCCATGCCTCATTCTCCAGATCTACCCATCTGTCCATTCACCCATTTGTTCACCCACCCATCCATCATCTGTCCATCCATCCATTTATCCATCCCATCACCCATCCATCCATCATCTATTCATGCATTCATCATCCATCCATCCATCCATCCTCATGGCCATCAATTAATTCATCCATCCACACATTTATCTACCCACTTATCTATCCTCCCTTACACCATACATTTGTCAATCCATTTGTCTTTCCACATACCAATCTGACCATCCATTCATCCATCAATTACTTATTCACTGACCCAAGCTTAGTAAGCCTTGACAAGGTAGCGGGTCCTGTGGCTTTCCCCTTACCCCCAGTCTTCCATGCCCACTCCTTCCTCTAGAGCTATCATATCTCATCCATCTCCAAGCCCCCATGACTCAGGTCATGGCCCGTGACTTTCAGGAGCTCACAGTCACAAGGGACAGACAGGATCTGGACCCAAAAAACTCTAGACCGGACAAAACTGTCCCTTCTCTTTCCCTCCCACCTTGTCAACTGTGGAGCCCTTGGCCTTGTTCCTGCCGCTGCTGACCTTCATCCCTCACCTGACTGGGGAGGGAGAGGCCCCCAGCTCCTCACCGTACAGCTAATTGGCCAGGAGAAGGCCTGGGCCCCAGACTCCAGGGCAGCAGTGATTATGAGCAATGCCTGTCGCTTCCTGCCTGGCCCCAGCCCGCCCCTCCCTGTGCTTCTAGGTGCAGTCTGTGGTCCTTGGCTGCAGGGCCTAATTAATTCTGGACTGGCCCAGCGCTTTGAGATTGCTGGATAAGAGGGAATTCCAGATGGGCAGCTCAGCCCCATAAAACCATAATTGGCTGTGTTTTTTATAATCATAATAATACCTTACAGCTTTTGCATTTCAAAGCACTTCATTTCCATGAGTGAGTTTAGGGCCCGCAGCAGCCAAGGCTGGAGGGTCAGGAGGGGCCCTGATGAGAACACAGGATGGCACAACACTGTGTGACCCCGGACAAGACTGTCTTCCGGACCCTCAGCCTCCTCAGCTGTGCCGGGGAGGCAATGCCCACCTGGCCAGGCACGTGAGGTCGAAATGAAACCCGCCCTTGGAGAACCCAACGCAGTGCCCTGGGGCGCGTGATACAGGAGCCTGTGGTCAGCCGGGTGAGGGGGGCAGGGCCTATGGACTGTCCACCTGCCATTGAGAAGTCACACCCCCTCAAGTGGCCCAGAAGGTGCCACAGACTGAGGTTCCAAGGCGACATCCAGCACCTTCCTCCTCTATCCATGCCCTGCAGGTGACTTCTGAGGGTCAACCACCTTCTGCTCTTTTCTCTGCTGAGTTGTCATGCTGTGTTAGTGACTGTGGGACAGAAAGAGGTAATGGAAATAGTCTCCACGAATGACAGATGGATCCAGCAATGCAATCGGGACCAATGCAGCCGCGCCCACCCAAGGACCCTCCACCATCAGTGGCAAAGGGGCTGTAGGGGCTCAGGGTCCCCTCTGCAGCCCGTTCCTCTGGGTTCCAGAGCCACCAGGGCCTGCAGACAAGGGAGCGGCTGAGGGACACCGCGCCACCCTGAGCCGAGCCAGGCCCCAGGCAGGGGCAGGGGCAGGGCCTAGCTGTGGCCTCTCCCCCGACAGTCCTTCTCTTCAGTTCAAGCTCAGGGCTTAGTGCCTCCCAAACTGGCCAAGGTTCAGGGTCTGAGATTTCCCTCTGCTGATGGTCTTGCTCGCCCCTGCCCACCAGGCCTGGGGGGTATCCCTACCGCTGAGGCCGCCCCTCAGCTTTGGGAGGGCCTCGGCAGAAGGGGTAGGCATGCCTCCCCTGCCAGGCCCCTGCCCGGCGGCCCCTCCTCACCTGCCCAAAGCCAGGCTTGGCTTTCCAGCTCAGCTGGGCCCCTGTCCCCTCCCAGCCTCCTGCTGTCCTGGGCCCACCCCAGTGCCCCTCTCGGTGGCCCCAGTGGCCCTGCAGCTCACCAGTTCGCTCTTGCTTCTAAGCCTTTGAGCTGATGGTCCTCTTCCTGGAGCCCCACCCCTGCCTCACCCCCTGCCATCCCTTCCCCTGGCCGATGTCTCCTCACCCTCAGGGGTCTGCCCAGGTGCCCCAGGGATCACATCAAGGTCACTGGCACTGAGGGGTTCTAGGGTCAGCTAATGAGTGAAGAATAAGTGATGCTGTGAGACCCCCTGGGGCTCCGTGTGCACATGGAAACGTCACCCCAGGAGGAGACACTGCTGGGTCAGGAGTCTGTGCCCCGAAGGCCTTCATTTTCTCCTTATTCCTTTATCTTCCTCTATCCTTGGATCCATCCCAGCCTGGGAGGTGGAGACCACAGAGGGGAGCGGGGCCACCAGGCAGGGGGCTGGCTGCCCCACCTGGGCCCTGGCCTCCCAGTTGCCTGGGACAAAGACCAATCAGTCCTCAGGGGAGAACCAAGTCTGCTATGGCCAGTACCAGGCTCCGGTCCCTGCCCCGGCCCCCGGGAGGGTGAGCCAGGAGGCTGGAGAGAGCGATGAACACCAGCCAGGCAGATGTATAAACTTGGCTTCTTAAACCCCGCCCCCCAGCACCTGCACCGCCCCCTGCAAACCTGCAAATGCCACAGGACAGGGAGGTGGAGCCGGGGCTGAACACCCAGCCAGGACACGGGTGTCAGGCAGGTCCTGTTTTTGTGAATGAAGCATGGCCCAGCTTCCTGCCGGCCTCGCCTGACCACTCTGTAACCTCAGGAGAAGCGCTGACAAAAAGGGGAACTTCAAAATCTGAGTCAGACAGAAGCAAAACAGACAGAAATGCTTCCTGGGTTTCACTAGGCTTTCAACTGAGACTTGCCCCAGAGTTGAAATTACCGACGGGCCCCTGCAGGAGCCCCTTGGCCTGTCGGCCACACGGGGGTTTCTTTGTCCCCTTGCACCCCATTTGGGCAGAGAAGGGCCACCCCACACTCCCTCTCTAGGGCCTTTGACAGGACACGACTATGTAGGAATCGGAGGTTCCTCCACCCATTCATTATTAATCCAGCACATTTGTCTTGAGCCCTTACTCTGTGCCAGGCCTCGTGCTGTGAACAAGACACACAGGGTCCCTGCCCTCCAGGGGCTGGCGTTCTCCAGCGGGGACCAGTTAACACACAAGCAAGCTGAATAGAGCTGTGGGGTGCAGTTTGTGCTACAGAGAAGGGCGCGACCTGCTTTGACAGGAGCCGGCAGGAAAACCTGGCGGAGCAGGGGGCATGAAGCCGCGTCCGAAAGGAAGAGACGGAACCTCGAAGGGAGGACGTCATTCCCGGGGTCAGGAGGGGCTGCCCGGATGCAGCTCGGGATGTCCTGGGAGCTGCAGAGGCCGCTGTGCTGAGGGTGAGCGGGACGGAGAGGGTGGCTTGCACAGTCCTGTTGGCCTCTGGGCCAGAGCTTGGGCAGGTTGTCTGGTCAAGCAAGAAGCAAGGTTGCCAAGTGCCCGGGGCCTCCCGTCCTGCAGACCGGCCGGCTTTGGGAGAAATCACGGGCTTATCTCCCTGGGAGCTGGCAGGAAAACCCCTCCATCCTGGGGCAGGGGGAGAGGGGTGTGGAGGGAGGAAGGTGCTGCCCACCCAGCTCTGGATGTCTTGCCAGAGATCCCCCCAAACTTCCTCCTGACCCCCATCCCTTCCCCAGGCAGAATCCCCCACCACCTCCCCCTACCCTTGCCAGGCTAGTCGGATCTGCTGTCCCTTTAAAGGGCCCTGAGTCGGAGTTAAGGAGACTGACTCAGTGTGGAAGGGGTGGTCCCTAGGTGGCCAGGCGCCAGGGCGGCAGCAGCGGAGGAAGCCGGCGACCGCAGCTCCCTGTGTGCGTTCTGCTGCGAAGGGCAGAAACCACAAAACGCCATTTGAATTCCACTGTGCAGCGTGGCTTGTGTAATGAGGTTACCCCTCATAATGGGGGCATTCAGGGCCCACGCGGGCCTGCAGGGCCGGAGCCAGCTGATGCTGATGTCATCTTCCGTTAGGCGTCTCCCCCCGCCCCACAAATTAAGGACTTGAAAAAAAAATGCACCAGGAAACTAAAGCGAGAGCCAGAACGGAAGTCTTGGTTTTATTTATAGTTGATAACTTATGTCCGGCCTGCTCCAAGGAGGCCCAGCAGGGAGGATAACGAGCCCCAAGGAGGGGTGACAAAATGCCCCAAACCCTGGGGTAATGTGGCATTCTAGAGCGAGCCTGAATCTCTGTTCTGAGCTCCCAGAAGCCAGCGCAAGAGGGGAGCAGGTGTGGTGACATGGCAGGGGTGGGAAACGGGGGCCTGGGAGTCTGGGTTCAGAGTACAGCCCAGCCACTGAGGGGCTATGAGGCCTGAGGCTCTGCTTTCTTATCTGAAAATGGAGAGAAGAATGCTGACTTGGTCGGGAGGGCCGTGCAAGGCACCCAGCACCGGCTCTTGCGTTTTAGCGGCTCTGCTGGCCTAGGAACTACAGGTAGGTCGCGCAGTTGCCCGCTCCCACACCTACATGCCTGGCAGACATCACTAATGGGTTGCAGCACAGTTCCCAGCCACATTCTGCCTCACGGCCCTACCCACACAGTCTCCAGGGGCCATCACCCGTGTGTCAGAGTTGCCTGGGGGTGAACCTGCTTGTCACCCAGACCTATAACCAGCTGAGGAGGGGTCCAGAGGGGCCTCAGCCATCTGAGGAATTCCCAACACCTGGTTGACGCCTGTGCATGGCAGGCACTTAAAAAAAATGTCTAATAATGAATGTTAAACTTAAGAGGACCTTTCTTCTGCACCCAGGGACTGAGGGTGAACCAGGCATCAGGCCCTCAGTGGGCACCCTAGGCCTCGGGGACCAACATGAACCAAACTGCTGTTTACGTGAGCTCTGCTGGCACAAAAGTGAGATGCAGTCGTTCTGGGGTACTTTGGGGATGCCTGTCCTGTGCCACGCCCTGGTCTGGACTGCGGAGTCCTCTGCGACCCTGGAATCAAGCAGAGGACAGAGACCCCAGCACGCAGGTTGTCCACCACACGGTGTGTTCCGGGCAAAGCCCACGACTGCCCAAGAGGCCGCGGTAACTCTGAGAAGAGTGGGCCAGATGGGGCAGCAGGCTTTGCTCCGAGTGCTGCGGAGCCACGAGTTTTCCTGGCCGACCAGGCGAGGAAAAGCATTCCAGGCAGAGGGACCTCCCAGGTGAAGGCAAAGAGGCTGGTGTGTCAGGATCCACAAGCTGTTCAGCATGAGAGGGGGCTCACCTCCTTTGAGAAGGAGCCCTGGGCCTTGCTTTTGGATGGGACGCATGTCCCAGCTTCTGTTCCTTCCAAGACTTACTCAGATGATTAATTAACTAAATGCACTACGTTCCCAGCAAGCTTTGCAGACTGTGAGCAGGCCGCCCGGAGCTGGCAGCCAGAGGGTGAGAGCAGCAGCCACACAGCTGGTGACTGTGGGCCCAGTTTGAGTCCTCACAGGTGTCTGAGGCCATCAGGTAGCCCTGGGCAACGGGTGGGACCAATGTGAGGTTTTATCTCAGGACGTGTTGCAAGCTACACTGGAGATAAGAAAGGTAAAGGGCTGGTCCATTTGCTCTCATGATTTTTCCTCAAATGCTACTTCAGGTTAGACTTCTGAGCAGGGTCAGCACATGCAGAGCAAACATATCATTGCTCCCAGATTCTGCACTCATGACAGGCATGACCAATCAATGATAGAATCCTCAACCCAGTACTCAGGCAATGGATCCCTGGGGGTGGTTGGGTCTGGGCCACCCTTCTCAGTGAGATGGACACCCTGCTTTGTCATGAAGCCCATCAGGGTCTGACCCTCCTTTTTGCCCTTTGGACACTTTTGGCCAAGACCGTTGGAAACTGTAGAAACCAGCACAAAGGGAGAATGAAACAGGTCTCTCTCTGCCTCTCTCTCTCTCTCTCTCTCTCTCTCATGCACACACTTGTGGGAACATAGGCAGAGCAAGGTCATGTGCACACAAGTCGTCTGAAGACAAGTGAAATATAAGCCAGGCGCTCTGTCTCAGGGTCTAGGACTGCGCCTGCACACAGAAGGTGCTCAATTAATGTCTGATGAGTGAAGGAACTTCCTGGGTCCAGGCTGTTTGTGGGCAGTCGTGCTGTCCCAGCACCGTCTCTTGGCCACGTCCCACCTCCTGGACCTTGCTGAGGCCCTCCGGGTTCTCATCTCTCCCCAGGGAAGGGTTGAGGCTGTGGGACGCCACCCCCATGGAGCGCTGGATGAAGTAGGGCCTGGAACTGTTTGCCTGGAGTCTTTAAATGACTGTTGATATAAGGTCCCAGATAAATGCCGAGCGGAGACCGGGGTGGGAGAACCGGGCTCATGGGAGGGGCTCTGGCAACCACCCACCATCCCTGCCCCTTCCTCAGGGGAATTCACTGGCATCGAGAAAGGATTTTCGGAAATGGCTGTGTTTGAAAGGCCCCTGCTTAATGTTCCCTTAAATTGGAATAGGTTTCACTTGACAACGTGTCTGCTGACCCGCGGGGAGAGGGCAGCCCCTGCCCGAGCGAGTGCCCGCTGACCCAGGAATTCCTGCATCTCAGTTCTGCTCCGCTCAGGGGCTCACTTAGCCAAGTTCAAAGGAATGCCTTTTCCTGCAGCAAAACAACAGTCGGAGCTCAGAGAGTCACTGCCCTCCGTTCAGGCACCTCTGTGGGAACCTGGATCAGGGACATTCCTCTGGAAAGAAGAATGTGCACGTGGGGGACAGATGGGCCCCTGCCAAGTCCAGTCACTCAACAGCAGAGCCTGAGGCCGGGGAGGACAGACTCCAGGCTGGTCCTGGGAACAGAGTCACACACAGAGGCGGGGTGGATGGGGGGAGCAGTCTGCATGCACCTGCCTCGGGACGCTCTGAGTCAGGAGGTGGTCCCTGAGCTGGTGGCTTAGCAAGGTGACACATGATGGGAAAGACCCAGGGCTGGGGGTGCCCAGGAGAAGTGTCTGATCCCACCCAGGGTAGAGGAAATTCTCCCAGGGCAAGTCCTACCTAAGGCAGGAGCTCCATTAGTGTGGATGAGCAGGCTGTGCTGCAGTAACTCTCTTCCCCGGTTCACCAAACCTAAGGAGATGGGAGAAGAGGAGTAAACAGGCTGTGTAAACAGGGAAGGGTGAGGTCTCCCCATTTTGCAGACAAAGGCACCAAAGCCCAGAGAGGAACCAAGCCAAGAGGGCTCACGGGTGCCAAGCATGCCCCCAGCCTCTGCTGGTTCAATCTGCACAACAACCCAGAACAATGCGGGGGGGGGGGGGGGAGCATATTATCCCCATTTCACAGATGGAGAAACTGAGGCACAGAGCAATTCTGCAAGGTCCCTACAGTCATCCCAGAAGCTAGTGGCTGATCTGAGGTCTAATCCAAGCCCTCTGACCACACAGCCCCTGTGCTCACCTTCAGGTGACTTGCCTGAGGTCACAGTGCCACCAGGCTGGGCACAAAGCCGGCTCTCCTGGCTCGGGCTCCCTCGCCCTCTCCCAGGGGAGAGCTTCGGCCACTTGAGGACCTATGTGCACTTATCTGGAATGGCACCGGGGTGGAGCAAATTTGGGGTTCATTCTGCTCCCGCTATCGTTTTCATGGGCATATCTGGGCATAAGACACCTCAACTTGGCCCCCAGGTCTTACCAGTGGAATGACCAGATCTGGAATGGGGGACCAATCGCCTTATCTCAAAGGACAGGTGGTGATGAAAGTATCGCATGCCACCATGTTGAAACCCGGGACCCGCCACCGCCCCTGCCCCTGCTGAGCGGCAGGTGGGTCAGGTTGGGGGTCAGAAAAAGTGATGTCACCATTTCTGGCCTTGGGGGTCTGATCAGGAAGAGTCTGCACCTCACACCCCCAATTTGAAGTACAGCCGTCACATTTGACCCCACAGTTATTCTGTGAGTGATGTTGGGAGGGGGCAGGGGGGGCTGCGGGGGGCTGAAGGCTGGGCTGGGACTGGAGGAGTCACCCCCAGACTGCTCCTCCACCTGGCTGTTGCCGCCAAGGCCTCTCCCCAGGGCTGGTTGAGTGTCCTCACAGCATGGCGTGTGGTTGAGGAAAGCAGGGCAGAAGCCATACGCCTTTCATGACGTGGCCTTGGGAGTCATGCTCTGTCATTGTCACAGCATCCCATTGGTTATCAGGGAGACCTCTGGAGGGGGAAGGAGCTACGTGAGGGTGCGATGCCAAGAGGTGAGGTCATCAGAGGCCACCTTGAACCGGCTGCCACCCCCAGACCTCTCCAACTCTGCCACAGGCACCTGAGTTCTGCTACAAGGCCCGTGGGCAATTGTGCAGTGGTGCCTGGTGTGGGAGAGATTTCAGAGCTACTGGGAGTGGGGTGCTCTGGAGGAGGGGGCATGCCAGGTGTGGTGCCACACTGAGAGGAGATGGAGCCCGTGCCCTGGCGGCAGCTGTGGACCTGTGTCTCCACGGAGGTGAGAAGCTCACTCCGGGCCATCATCACGCTTGGGAAGCACATGGGTGAGGGGCACAGGGGGCATCCTTCTCAGGCACCTGCCTTCTCAGCAGCACGATAGGGACGCGGGGACAGAGTGAGCAGCTGAGTGGCAACCCTTCTAGCTGTGGCACAAGGGCTGGTATTGGTGACAGACAGACCTGAAATGTGTCCACTGGGTGTGACCCTGAGTAAGTCTCTCAGATCCACTCTGACCCTCAGTCTCCTCCTCTAAAAGGGGATCGTTGTTTGTCCCCTGCAGGAGAGAGCGGAAAGCCACGTGTGTCAAGAGGCCTGGCCCACACCAGAGCTCTGGTTCAGCCTCCGACACAGCCCCGCCCTGGGAGCCGCTGACTCCATGGGACACCCACCAGTGGAACACGAGTGTCCCAGTCCCAGGTCAGCCAGTGAGCGAGCACGCTTTCTCCCACGCACCCGGACCAGCCAGAGTCGCCCTCCTGGGTGCTAGGGAGAGCGTGCCAGCATGGCTGTGGTTGTTGGGACACCACATTCATGACAAATGACCTGGGCAGATATTTCACACCTCTTCTTTCACATTCCTGCGGGAAAATGACATGGGATGCGGAATGCTCCTCCCCGGGACAGCTGACAAAAGACACGGCGCGCCCTTATCTCAACTGGAAGTTCTGTTTTTATTTTACCAAACAGGGGCTATCGGGGCTGCTTAGATGAGAGAAGTGTGTCATTGGAAGGGCAAGGCCAGTTAGGAAAAGGAGGGCCTGGGAGGAAAGCTGCAGAAAGAGACCATCTCCCATAGCTTGGCGTCGGGGGCCTCAGGACAGGCGGGCACACCCAGACCGCGCCTCTGTGCGGGAGCCTCGGCTGTGGCGACAATGCGTGGTGCACACTGCGGCTCAGCACACGGGCGCGGGGTGACCCCTCCCATCGAGGAGACACGGACACATCGGGGACCTCAGGAGAGGCCGCCCCTGCGGGGCCGTGGCCTGGGGTCCCTGGTCTTCATTTCATCTGCTTCTTCGGAAACGGACGCTCACGGGCAGTAGAGGGGCCTCAGTGACCCCGATTTCAAGGGAAACCCCTCACCATCCCACACCAGAGAAGGAACACCAGCACAAAATCAGGGGCCTGACTGTGTGTTCCCACAACGCCTCACCCCGCGCGGGGGTGCCGTCCTGCCGCCTTCTAGCATATTCCGCAGAGGCTGGCTCGGGGCCCAGCGGCCCATATTGCAGACAGAACCCTCGGCCACTGCTGACGGTGGGCTCGCTGTGACATGGGCACCAGGAATCCTACGGGCCATTGGCCTCACCATGTTCCCATCCCGCCCCCGGCAGCATGCCTGGCACACAGCAGAGGTTTGGCAAAGGTTTGCTGGGCAAACACACCAGACCACAGAGCAGACTTCAGAACCAGAAGAACCCGAGTCCGGATGCTCTCCAGTGACTGTGACCGAGGGAAGTCACTTAACCTCCCGGGTCTCGGTTCCTGCCCTGTGAGGTGAAGGTCACAGTGGTAACCCAGTAGGATCTCTATGAGGGTTCGGTGAGACGATGTTTGCAAAAGGCAACGCGGAATGGGTGCTCAGCGGACGTGCCCGCCGCCTCCCCTGCAGGTGGCTGAGGCCTCCCTGCCTCCAGCCGCAGGCTGCCGGTGACTGCAGCGGCCCCGGCGCCAGCCCCAGGAGCGTGGGAACTTCCTGCCCCCTGTTTGTCTTGGGCAGCTCGGGAGGGCTGACACCCTCTGTCAGCTCCAGCCAGGTAGCCCGGAGTGAAAGGGGAGAATTGTTCCCGTGACCTTTGTTTTCCTTGTCAGAGGTGATTTCTGCAAGCCCCGCCCCTTTTCCCTGAAGGCTAGGCCAGCCTTGGTCCCCCACTCCCAACGGGGCTGGAGGGGCCACCCGTGCACTGGGGGGCCTACAGCCCAGCGTGTCCCTGCCAGCAGGTGTGAGGCCCTATGTCCACCCCACCCCTGCTCCAGCTGCCAGCAATAACCCCCTGGTCCTCACTCCCTGCTCTACCCCCCGGGACCCAGGGTCAGTCATCTTACATCAGTCAAGCTCCCCAGCCCAGGAGAGATGCTCCCACCCACTAGAGCAAGGTACCCTCTCCTCCTCCCACCCTACCCACTGCACCCAGGAGGGTGTCTCCACGCCCGCCTCGGAGCTGGGCCACAGGTCTCTACACCATTGAAAACGCTTTCTCCTCCAAGTTCCCATCCCTGAGTCTCAGCCCCCTCTGCCCTCTGGCCACGTGGCCAGCCCACTGCTCACTGCCCGCCTTCCCCACTGTGGCATAGCTGGTGGCCCCAGGGTGGAGCCTCTGCACCGTGGGACCTTCAAGAGGTCAGCTGTGCAGTGGCCGCCGCAGGCTGTGCAGCTGGGGCTAAGGGCAGACTTGGCTCGCTGAAGCTTCCTTTCCGATTTTCCAGAAGATATCGATTATTAATGATCATTGTTCTTTCCTTCTGGGGCATGAAAAACAGGTTCAACTCACAACCGGAAAAGCAGCAGGTCGAGGTTCCCAGAGTATGAAATGTCAGTCGCCGGCGGCAGTGACATTCACCCACAGGCACTAAAAATAGACGTGGAGACAGGAGCACCGAGTCTCCGGGGCTGGAGACAGAGGTGAGCTCAGGGCAGACAGGACACTGGCCACTTACGTCTGCAGCCATGCGGCGAGGCAAGGGGTTTGCCTCTGTTTTTTTCTTAGGAGATAGAAAGAAAGTCAACTTGAGAAGGGTCAGCCCAGAGGGACTTCGCTCTTCTACATGTGACCTGTCCACATGGAAAATCTATACTAATAACAGGCCAGCGTCACGACCAGAACGACCGCTCGACCAGTTGCCATGAGGTGCATTGACCACCTCTCGGTCCCTCCCCCGCGGCCCACGCAAGCAGCGGTGGGCTACTGCGTGAGATTTCGCGTGCTGGGCCTCTAGTTTATGTAGAAACAAAACCTGTGGTGAGATGTGACCACGGGCACGTCGGGTTCAGCAGGATTCACCCCGCTGGGCCCGAGGAGGCAGAGGGCTCCTTCTCCTTCCCACAGGACGGACTGGACACGGGAACCCGACCGAGGCCGGCACAGCCTGGAGAACTTCTGTGATGACAGAAATGTCTGGGCTGCTCCATCCTACATGGAGCCACCGGCCGCTGGAGGTATCAAGCCCTCAAAATGTGGCTGTTGCGACTGAGCAACAGAATGACTAATTGTATTTCCTTGTAATCGATTTAAATTCAAATAGCCATCTTTAAATGCTGGCTAGCAGTGACCATATTGGACAGCACCGTTTCAGGCCTTAGGAGAAGGAACACTGTGCTCGATTAGCAATGTCTGCCAGGGACATGGGATGGGCAGGGAAGGCATGAATGCTGCGTCACTGAATGACCAGGGATCTGGCGTGAGCGAGGCCACCTGAGGCCTCAATCATTGATTCTGGTGCCTGCACAGTTTTAGCATTTAGGAGGTCCGTGAAGTTTGGGGCCACACCCCCTGTTCTTTCGTCTCCTGGCCTTTACTGAGGCAACTTCCGGTCTCCTAACTGCTTCCCCTCCTTTTGGGATCCCATTTCTAACACACTTTCTACACAGCAGACAGAGGGTTCTTTCAAAACACCAACCCAACCATGTTCTACG